TTATCTCCTAGATTCTACATTTTACTATATTGTTTTATCACTTATCTTTCCATCTACCCATCCCACATCTGTCTTATTTTTTAATGCGTTTCAAAGTACATTACATATATCCCTAATCTTTCTTAACAGCTTTATTGAGATATAATTCCTAAATAATACAATTCACCCATTTAAAGTAAACAAATCACAGTATATTAACAGATAAATGCAGTCATCACCATAATCAGTTTTAGGACATTTTCATCAGCCTCCAATTTTTCCAGTCCTGCCCCCAGCCTCTGGCAACCATTAATTTTTTGTCTCTATAAATTTGCCTGTTCTGAACATTTTACATACGTGGAATCATACAATTTGGTCCTTTCCCATTGGCAACTTTCATTTAGCATAGTATTTTCAAGACTCATCCATATTGTAGCATGTGTCATTAATTCATTTCTTCATTTGTGTGAAAGTGTGTGTGTGTGCTTTTTTAACTGATTTTGAGAGAGAGAGAAAGAGAAACATCCATTTGTTTTTCCACTTATTTATGCATTCATTGGTTGATTCTGACCAGAGATTGAACCTGCAACCTTGGTATATCGGGACAGTGCTCTAACCAACTGAACTACCTAGCCAGAGCTCATTTCCTTTCCTTCCCAAATAATAATTCATTTTATGAATAAACCACATTTTATTTACTCATTTATCAGATGATGGATATTGGCTTGTTTCCACTTTGGGGCTATTACGAATAATGCTGCTGTGAACTTTCATGTACTAGTACAAGTTTTTGTGTGGAAATAAGTTTTCATTTCTCTTTAGTATATACCTGGAGTGGAATTTCTGGGTCAGAAGTTTAGCTTTTTGAGTAACTGCTAAACTTTTCCAAAGCAGTTGCATCATGCTCTATTTCCACCAGCAATATATCAGGGTTTGAATTTCTCCACATCTTTGCCAACTCTTGTTATTATCTTGTATTTTATTATAGATTCATGATCTTTTTACTAGTATTATACTCCATTTCCCTTTGTAGCTGTGTGATTTGGATCAGCTATAGACCTGACTCAGATGTTTTCCTTATAAAGGGGTTAGCTTATCTGGGCTTCTTGAGTAGCTTAAAAGTGGCATCACAGTGTAGAGGTTAAAAACTTGGGTTTTAAAGTCAAATAAACCTGCCTGGTTGGTTTGGCTCAGTGGATAGAGCGTAGGCCTGTGGACTGAATGGTTCTGGGTTTGATTCCAATCACGGACACATCCCCAGTAGGGGGCATGCAGAAGGTAGCCAATCAATGATTCTCTCTCATCATTGATGTTTCTACCTTTCTCTCCTTCTCCCTCTCTGAAATCAATATATATATATAATTTTAAAAATAAAGTCAAATAAACCTTGATTCAAATCCTTGCTTTCCTACTTAATTTCTGTGTGCTTGGGCAAGTTATTTTAAAGTGAAGATAATTTCTACTACCTTCTTGGTGTTGTGGAAATTCATTTGCATAGAAAGCACTAAATAGCCCTGATCGATTTTGTTTGGTTCAGTGGATAGAGCATCGGCCTGTGGATTAAAGGGTCCCAGGTTCGATTCCAGTCAAGGGCATGTACCTCAGTTGCGGGTACATCCCCAGTAAGGAGTGCACAAATGGCAGCTGATCGATGTTTCTCTCTCATCAATGTTTCTAGTTTCTAGCTCTCTATCCTCCTCCCTTCCTCTGTAAAAAATCAAAAAAAAAATTTTTTTTTTAAGAAAAGCATTGAATAAATGGTAGCTCTGCTACTGCTGCTGCTATTTCTTTTTAATCTGTCCTAATGGTATATGTGAACTATGTTTAATATCAAATAAAGATACCCCAGCATTCCTGAAAGACTGTATAATTTGTGGGCCAAAAGATTGGGGCAGTAGTTTATAGAACACTTGCCAAAGATGTCACATTGGTCTGCTTTCATCAGCATGCAGGCTGGTTGCTACCACCATGTTCCCCTCCCTGCCACCAACATTAATCTTTAGCTTAGGAGAGTTATTTGCTGACATGCCTGTCCTTTTTCTTAAATCCCAAGGAACTGACACATTGGAACACCTGTTTTAAAAAGCCCTTCTCTGATGAGGAGAGGGAATGATGAAAATCATAAAACAATGGGCTTAATTTTATAAAAAGACAAAATAGTAATCTTATGGCATTGGGTGAACTTAAAATATGATAGAAAATCAATTCCAGAGGTGGCACCTATTTTTGAGCACATGCCCTGGACAGCAGATGAAGTGAAAAGGCAGAGTTACGGAAAGCATTGGCCATAGCTACAGACAAAAGATAGAAATGCTTTTTGACCATCCTGTTCAGTCAATTTAGTAACAGAATTTCAGCATGAAAGGAAGAAATGTAGTTTCCTATCAAGGATAAAGGAGAATTAAACAGGATTCAGTAACATAGTAAAAGGGTCAAACTATGCCTTTTTTTTTTTAATATTCCTTTATTAACTTTTTAAAAAAATATATTTTATTGATTTTTAACAGAGAGAAAGGGAGAGAGATAGAGAGCTAGAAACATCGATGAGAGAGAAACATCGACCAGCTGCCTCTTGCACACCCCTTACCAGGGATGTGCCCGCAACCAAGGTACATACCCTTGACCGGAATCGAACCTGGGACCTTTCAGTCCGCAGACCGACGTTCTACCACTGAGCCAAACCGACTTTGGCAAGCTATGCCTCTTTTTTTTTTCTTTTTTTTTTTAATCTTGTTTCTTATAGGAGGAATGAAGTTCAGGATATAGTTATTTATCATATAATCATTGGAAGAAAGAATGTTGGTGACGCTGCAACAGAAAAATTCCTTAAAGACCTTTCCTATAGTTCTTAAAAGTTTGTGTGCTATAGGTGTGGTGAAAAGTAAGGGAAAGGGGAGGATAGTTTTAAATGTTTGAGTTTGTTCTGGCATTTTTATTTTTTTAATATGAAGTCCTCTGAGGCTCACATGCTAGTGTTAGGTGTGTGCTTACCTGAGTAGTGCTCGCTAGTAAGTATATGCTCCAGTTGGGATATACCCTCTGTCTGACAGAGGCTTCCATTCTAGTCACCATAAGCTGGGACTGTGTTTATTATTTCCTTTCTAGTCTTTTTAAATGTGTAGTCTTCAATCTTTCTCTTACCTATGTAGCTCTTTGTTTGATTCTTGGGACTCCACACAACTTACCCCAGTCTGTCCTCCTCACCACTAATATATAACCTATTTTCCTAAAACACTATGTTCATCATGTCACCCTTTCCCCTTTCAGCAATCTGCTTTGGACCCATCTACTGTCTATTCCAGAATCCTCACTCACCTGCCTATCTTTTAAGACCAAACTTCCCTTTTTTCCTCCAATATAGATTCACTATTCAAATTATCCTAATACATTTCTACCTCTTGTCCTTTACCCATCCTCTTTTCTACGTAGAAATTCTGCTATTGTTCTTTAAACCTGTTCCAGTCCCATGGGTCATTAGATGCCCTGCCCAGGTTCCATCTTTATGTAGAATAAGCTCTCTTATATGTAATCCTAGTGCTAGTCATACAAGGTGAATTAAAATCACCTTGCTCCCGCCAAAACCGGTTTGGCTCAGTGGATAGAGCATCGGCCTGTGGACTGAAAGGTCCCAGATTCGATTCCAGTCAAGGGCACGTACTTTGGTTGTGGGCACATCCCCAGTGGGAGGTGTGCAGGAGGCAGCTGTTCGATGTTTCTTTCTCATCGATGTTTCTAACTCTCTATTCCTCTCAATTCCTCTCTGTAAAAAATCAATAAAATATATTAAAAAATAAATAAATAAAATCATCTTGCTCCCAAAGGACTTGTATGCATGCATATTAGCATAACCAATGGACACAGACACTGGGGTGGTGGGGGCTTGCCTGGGGTGGGAATGGCTGCGGCGGGGGTGGGAGGGGGTGTTTGTTGTCAAGTTGGGGGAAAAGGAGACATATGTAAAACTGTAGACAATAAATAAATAATAAATAAAATAATAAAATCACCTTGCTCCCAAAGAATCTCATCTCCCTTCATTTTCCCTCAGCTATAGTCACACAGGCCTACATTCCTTTTTCTTAAATCCCAAGGAACTGACACATTGGAACACCTGTTTTAAAAAGGTGTTCCAATGAACACCTCAAACTTATGAAGATTATTTTTCACCTTGAGAACTTCATTTTTGTTATTTCTTCTGCTTTAATATATCCCCTACCCCCATCTTCACAGCACTTACTCATATCATCATTCAAGTTTCAGTTTTCATTGTTGAAGAGTGCTGAACCCGGAAGAGGCCTTCCATCTTAACCAGCCACCAGGTGCTCTGCTGTGTACCCCTAGTGATGCTGGATTACTTATCCCTTTCTGCCATCGTCTTGGGTTTTCTGCCTCTCCCTCATCTCTTCCACCTCCACTTTAGAATGTAAACTCCTGAGGGCCAAGTTTCTATCTTGCTTACCACAATATTCCCAGTACTTTGAACATACCTGACACACATCAGGCTTTCAGTAAATATGTGTTGATTGAGATGTCCTTGACACTGTGCTTGACCATGGGAATGATGAGCTGTGAATCATGGGCATCAAGGTGAGTGACCTGTCCAGTGTCAAAATATGCTACTGGGACTGCTTGATCAGTTTCCATTTATGTGCTTGTTTATCTTTTGATGAGACCTGCTTAATTGTACTCGAGTTTTCACTTCTCCCATATGCTACTCAGAATAGAAAAAGAACTGCCTCATTTATTATAGGTATGCTCAAAGCTAACCAGGGTTGCTGGCATTTCTGTAAATACTGTGTGTAAAGAAGAATGTAAAAGAGTTATGTTGCCACTATCATATGGCCTTGTGATAAACTGCCCATTTTAGGAAAGTGCTGTACCCACTGGGATTCCCTGTTAAACCAGGCCACTCAACTTTTTTGTGCTTTTATTTTATTCCTTTCCAGAATGAGTTTGGGGATTAGAGGTAAATAACACCAGGAAAATACAGAATGCCTAAATTTTTAATTTCCCCCCCTTCTTAGATGTGAACGATTAGAAGAACAACTAAATGATCTAACAGAGCTCCATCAGAATGAAATCTTGAACTTGAAGCAGGAATTGGCCAGCATGGAAGAGAAAATTGCATATCAGTCCTATGAACGGGCCCGGGACATCCAGGTTAGCATGAAGGATCCAGGTGTAAAAGCAAAAGATTAAAAAAAATAGAATGATTGTTGCCAATGACTAGGGAATATGGGATGGGGGATTGTTGTTAAATAGGTATAGAGCTTCAGTTTTACAAGATGTAAAGAGTCATAAGATAGATGATGGTGATGGTTGCATAACAATATGAATGTATTTAATACCACTGAACTTTATACTTAAAAAGTTAAAGTGATAAATTTTATTATGTATATTTTAACAAAAAAAGAAAAAGAATGAAGTACTGATAATTTTACAACATAGGTAAATCTGAAAAACATGGTGTTCAGTTAAAAGAAACCTGTTAGAGAAGACACATATTATATTATTCCATTTATATGGAATGCCCAGAATAAGCCAACATATGGAGACAAAGTAGATATGTGGTTGCCTGGGGCTGTGGAAAAGGGAACTGGAAAGTGATAGCTGAGGAGCAGCGGGTTTCCTTTTGGAGTGATGAGAATGTTCTGGAATTTTTATAGTAGTGTACAACATTGTGAATGTACTAAATGTTATTAGATTGTACATTTTAAAATTATAAATTTTGTGTTAGGTATATTTTACCATAATAAAAAGTTTAGGGGGAAAAGGTTGGGAGGTTAGAGTATCAAAAGAAACCAATACCAGCTATAATATACCTGCTCTTCATTTCTCAAAAATCTATGCAATTTGAAGGTGATATGCTTGCTTGGGTTACTGGGAAATGTTTCTTAGGCTCAAAATAGTCTCAGCCTATGGGAAACCATATGCACTACATCTGTTAGTTACTGCTTATGCGGACAAGTCTCATGGCCATCTTGCCGATCTTCTGTAGCAAAGGGGGCTTTTGTCCTAGCTGCCAAGTCAAAACCTTGTAGAGGTACATTGCTAGGCAGTTTGTGAGAATACCACAAGGCAATCTTGTATAAGGCTCATAGTAACCTTCTAGTTTATTCTGTGGGAAAATAGAATATTTATCTTTTGCTCGTCCAGTTGGGAGGTATTTCTAAGGGAACAGTTGGTTATTTAATGTGAACATCTTGAAATTAGTCTTGGAGAAGGACCAGGAAATTTGTATTACAGTAGCCTAAAAGAATCAAGAGAATGTCTATATTATTTGCCCTGCTATTTTCTTGTCCAGGCGCCAGGAATTCTATTTATTTTTTAGTTTTCCCCCCCAAGCTCATAGTGGATCTGGAAGTATCCTTTGTCCATTCTCCAGCTAGCTGCAGTCTGAAGTTGCCTGACCTTCAGTTCAAATCCTAGGAAACCAGGACCTATTGAAACCAAGATCAGAAAAACCTAGGATTCCACCAATACTGAATTTTGGAGGATATCTGACCTAAGGGAATAGGTTCGATCCTCTGAGTGTTATGGTAAATTTCATAAAAACTAATGGGTGAAGGTCATAGCCTTAAGGGGAGCAGATCACTTGTAGTATTTGGTCTAGTATTTGAGCATAGTATCCTCTCTACACAGATCAGTAAATCTTAAAAAGGGGGAAGTACTCTCTGTAGAGAGCCCTTTCCACTGATGTCAGGGACTTACTTGGCGTAAAAGAACACCTGGTAGGGTGTATCTCCATTGTTAAAGTGGAAACATTGGAAATAACCTAAATCTCTCCAATACGGAACTGGCTGACATATTTATACTATAAAATTACCTGCATCAGTTAAAAAGATTGAGGTGGATTTCCACATGTTGACATAAAGAGATTGACAAGACTCACTGTTGAGTGAAAGAGGCAAGCGTGGACAGTCCTATATTATGATAGAAAATAAAAAAAGAATTCCATTTCTCTAGGCACATATTTGTATACACTTAAAACATAGGTGAAAGGATGAAAACAAACCAAACTGCAGTATTTACTTCAAGAGCAGGGGCTGGAATTGAGGAAAATATCAAGAGAAAGTATGTGTCCTATTTGAATTTTTTATGGTGAACAAGTAGGTGTGTCTTGTGCAACTTAATAATTTTTAAATGAAAAAGAAGTAAAATTATAAAAAAAAAGAAACATTGTATATTTGAGATCTTGTCCATAAAATTTTCAAACAAATCTAATTGTATCAATGGCTTCTTGTGAACCATCCCACAGGAATGCAATGGAGGACAGTTTAGGTCACATGTGTCAAACACAAGGCCCGCCAGGCCTTGCAATGTGGCCCGCACTGCGCTGTCATCACTGCACTCCGCTGCGTTTCCATCACAATGACAGTTTATGACTGTTCAGTAAACCATTCGGCCCGCGATTTAGGCTGGATTTTGGATTTTGGCCCCTTCTCTGATTGAGTTCGACACCCCTAGTTTAGGTGAATAATAGTCTAGACTCCTTTTGTCACCTTGTATTTAACCCCCTTTACTCTCTTTGTCCTCCCCCTACCCACTTCTTCTCTAGTAACCACCATTTTGTTGTCTGTATCTATGGGTTTATTTGTTTTGTTTTGTTTTTTTGTTTGTTTGCTTTTTGTTTTATATTCCACATATGAATGAAATGGTATGGTTTTTTGTTTTTTTCTTTCTGACTTATTTTATTTAGCATAAGTCTTTCAAAATCCATCCATCTTGTTATAAATGGCAATATTTCATCATTTGTTTATTAATTCTCACCCAAATATATTTTCCTATTGGCTTTTAGAGAGTGGAAGGGAGAGAAAGTCAAAGAGCAAGAAACGTTGTAAGAGAGATACATGGATTGGTTGCCTCCTGCACATACCTTGACCAGGACCAGGGCCTGCAACCCAAGTACATACCCTTGACAGGATATGAACCCAAGATCCTTCAGTCCACAGGCCGATGCTTTATTCACTAAGCCAAACTGGTTAGGGCTAATTCTTAATTTTTTTAGGAACCTCCATGCTATATTCCATAGTGGCTACACAAGTTTATATTTTTACCAACAGTATAGGAGAATTCTCTTTACTCCACATCCTATGCAACATTTATTTCTTGTTGTATTGATAATAGCCATTCTGACTACCTCATTGTTTTGGTTTACATTTTTCTTTTTTCTTTTTTCTTTTTTTTTATGTGTATTTATTTATTTATTTATTTATTTTTAAATATATATTTTATTGATTTTTTACAGAGAGGAAGAGAGAGGGATACAGAGTTAGAAACGTCAATGAGAGAGAAACATCAACCAGCTGCCTCTTGCACATCCCCCACCTGGGATGTGCCCGCAACCCATGTACATGCCCTTGACCGGAATCGAACCCGGGACCTTTCAGTCCCCAAGCCGACGCTCTATGCATTGAGCCAAACCTGTCTCGGCTGGTTTACATTTTTCTTACAGCTAGTGATATTGAGCATTTTTTCATATATATTTGTTGGTCTGTATGTCTTCTTGGAAAATATCTATTTAGGTTCTCTGCCCATTTTTTAATTGGACTGTTTGGGAGTTTTTTCTTGTTGAGTTGTTCTTTGTATATTTTGGATTTTATCCCTTCCCGGTAGTTAACATTTACAAATACCTTCTAGAATTTGGTTGGTTGCTTTTTTGTTTTGTTAATTATTCCTTTTGCTGTGCAGAAGCTTTTGGTTTGATGTAGTCTATTAATTTATTTTTGCTTTTACTTCCCTTGCCTTTGGTGTCACAAATACCCCTCTGAAATGAAGGTCCTGAAGTTTGGTGACTATGTTTTCTTCTAATTGTTTTCCAGTCTTATATTCAAGCCTTTAAACTACTTTGAGTTTATTTTTTTGTGTGTTGTCAGATAGTCAGTCTAGTTTCATTCTTTTCAGTTTCCCCAACACTATTTATTAAAGACATTCCTTTCTCCATTATATGTTTTTGGCTCCTTTGAAAAGTAGGTGCCCATATATCTGTGGGTTTATCTCTAGGCTCTCAGTTCTGTTCCATTTGTCCATTTCTCTGCCAATACCTTATTGTTTTGACTATTATAGTTTTGTAGTATAATTTGAAGCCAAGAAGTATGATACTTATAGTTTTTTGTTCTTTATTCCCAGGATTGATTTGGTTATTTGGGATCTTTTGTGGTTTCATACAAATTTGAGGGTTTTAAAAATTCTATTTCTAAGAGAAATGCCACTGGGATTTTGATAGGGGTTGCATTAAACCTATACACTGAGTGGCCAGATTATTATGCATTCTGAGATCATAATAATCTAATATATATAATTTTGAGGCCTGGGTGCACAAAGTTTGTGCAAGTGGGGGGAGGTGTCCCTCAGCTCAGCCTGCACCCTCTCTAGTCTGGGATCCCTCTCACAATCCAGGACTGCTGGCTCCCAACTGCTCGCCTGCCTGCCTTCCTGACTGCCCGTAACCACTTCTGCCTGCCAGCCTGATCACCCCCTAACCACTCCTGTGCCAGCCTGATTGATGTCTATCTGCTCCCTGCCAGCCTGTTTGCCCCCAACTTCCCTCCTCAGCTGGCCTGGTCACCCCTAACTGCTCTCCCCTGCAGGCCTGGTGCCTCCCAACTGCTCCACCTGCTGGCCATCTTGTAATGGACATCTTGTGTCCACATGGAGGCAGGATCTTTGACCACATGGGGGCAGCCATTTGTGTGTTGGAGTGATGGTCAATCTGCATATTATTCTTTTATTAGATAGGATAGAGGTCTGGTGCATGGGTGGGGGCCAGCTGGTTTGTCCTGAAGAGTGTCCCAGATCAGGGTGGGGGTTTTCTTGGGGCGTGGGGTGGCCTGAACAAGGGGCCTATGGTGGTTTGCAGGCCAACCAGGCCCCCCAGCAACCCAAGAGGAGGCCCTGGTATCTGGAATTTATTACCTTTTACAATTGAAACTTTGTAGCCTGGATCAGAGCCAAGCCTTCTGCTTGCTCTGTGGCTGCCGCCATTTCTGTTTGGATTTGTTTACCTTATATAGTTGTAGCCTAGAGTGGAGCCTTAGGTAGGCAAGGGCAGGCGGAAAGCTTGGCTTCTTCCATTGTCAGAGAAACACAAGCCTCCCTCCTGCTCTCTGTGGCTGCAGCCATCTTGGTTGAGGTTAATTTGCATACTCTGATTGGTTGGTGGGTGTGGCTTGTGGGTGTAGCAGAGGTATGGTCAATTTGCATAATACTGTTTTATTATATAAGATTAGAGGCCTGGTGCATGAACTCATGCATGGGTGGGGTCCGGCCTGCCTGCTGGTCAAACTCCTGGTCGAGGGGACAATTTGCATATTAGCCTTTTATTATATAGGATATACACTGAGTGGCCAGATTATTATGCGTTCAGAGATCATAATAATCTGGCCACTCAGTGTATATTTCAACACTGTGTTGTAGTTTCCAATGTACAAGTCCTTCACTTCTTTTGTTAAGTTTATTCCTAAGTATTTTATCCTTTTTGTTGCAATTATAAATGAAATTTTTTTCTTCATTTCTTTTTCTGATACTTTGTTAGTATATAGGAGTGCAGCAGTTTTTTGTATGTTGATTTTGTATCCTGTAACTTGACTGTATTTATTGTTTTTAATAGTTTTTTCATGGAGTCTTTAGGATTTTCTATATAGAGAATCATGTCTTCTGTAAATAATGACAGTTTTACTTCTTCATTCCAAAATTAGATGCCTGTTCTTTTTTCTCTTGCCTAACTGCTCTGACCAAGACTTCCAATACTGTATTAATAGCCTTGGTGAGAATGGGCATCTTGTCTTGTTCCTGATCTTAGAGGAAAAGTTTTTGTTTTTTTTTTACCATTTAGTATGTTAGTTGAGGGTTTGTTATATATGGCCTTTATTGTGTTAAGGTACTTTTCTTCTATACCAATTGCATTAAGTGTTTTATCATAAGTGGATGTTGTATCTTGTCAGATGCTTTTTCTGCATCTATTGGTATGATTACATGATTTTTATCTTTTATTTGTTAATAGGGTGTTTTGACCAATTTGCATGCATTGAATCATCCTTGCACCCCTGGAATGAACCCCACTTGATGATGATATTTTATCTTTTTAATATACCCTTATATTCAGTTTGCCAATATTTTATTTAGGATTTTTGCATCTATATCCATCAAAGACATTAGCCTATTACTTTCTTTTTTCTGTTATTATTACCGGGTTTTGGTATCAGAATAATGTTTGCCTTGTAAAATTAGTTAGGAAGTATTACTTCCTTTCAGCGTTTTTGGAAGAGCATGAGAATGATAGGTATTAAACCTTCTTTGAATGTTTGGTGGAATTCACAGGTGAAGCCATCTGTTCTTGGATTTTTGGGATTTTTTTTTTAAGAGTTTTTTTTATGACAGTTTCAATTTCCTTACTAGTGATCAGACTATTTATAATAGGTTTTCCAATTTTTATTGATTTTTTATTTTTTATATATTTTATTGATTTTTTCACAGAGAGGAAGAGAGAGGGATAGATAGTTAGAAACATCGATCAGCTGCCTCCTGCACACCCCCCACTGGAGACGTGCCCACAACCAAGGCACACGCCCTTGCCCGGAATCGAACCCGGGACCTCTCAGTCCGCAGGCCGACGCTCTATCCACTGAGCCAAACCGATCCCGGCTAGGTTTTCCAATTTTTCATGTCTCAGTCTAGGAAGGCTATATATTTCTAAGAATTTGTCTATTTATTCAAAATTATTAAATTTGGTGGCATAAAGCCTTTCATAGTATTCTTGCATAATTCTTTGTACTTCTCTGGTGTCAGTTGTAACTTCTCTTTCATTTTTTATTTTATTTAAGTCTTTTTTTTCCTTAGCAAGTCTAGCCAGAGTTTTGTCAGTTATTTCTTTTCAGAGAACCAGCTCTCTGCTTCATTATTTTTTTCTATTATCCTTTTGTTCTCTATTTCATTTATTCCCACTCTAATTTTTATTACTTTCTTCTACTGACTTTGGAATTTCTTTGTTCTTTTTATAGTTCTTTAAGGTATAATGTTAAGTGGTTTATTTGAGATTTTTCTTATTTCTTGAGATAGGCCTGTAATACTGTAAACTTTTTCATACCATTTTTGTTACATCCCCCAAATTTTGGTATGTCGTATTTTTATTTGTCTCTCTGTATCTTTTGATCTTTTGTTTTATTTATTTCTTCTTTGACCCAGTAGTTCAGCAGAATTTTGTTTTATCTCCACATATTCATGTTTTTGTCAGCTTTCTTCTTATAGTTTTATACCATGTTGATCAGATAATATGCTTTGGTATGTTTTCTGTCTTTTCAAATTTATTGAGATTGGTTTTTGTGCTACAGCATGGTCTATCCTTGAGAATGTTTTGTGTGCACTTGAAAAGAATGTACATTCTTGTCATTTGGGTATGGAAAGTTCAATAAATACCAAATATGTTCTTTGCTCTAATCATTAGAGTCTAATGTGTCCTTTTTTTTTTTTTAGTTGGGATAACACTCCAACTAACTGACCTACCTGGCCAGGGCCAGAGCTACCTTCTTTTTACGAGTGGTCCCTGGCCCCACTGTGTTTTTGGAGGTGTCTCTACTGCCTCTCTACTAGGCTCTGCCAGGATGGGGCAGGGACATGTTCATGATTTTGCAGCCCTGCTATACTGTTTAAGATATCTCAGTTTTCTCTATCTGGCTCTGTTGGGTTGGGTGGGACAAGGGAGGCAAGTTCATGATCTTATAGCTTCACCCAACTGCCAGCAACAGTTGTCATCACCTCTGGGTTGCCCGCCCTGGTCTTAGCCTTCTTTGCAGGGTTCTTCAGCTGTTCTGATGCGTTGATCTTTTAGGCATGTTTGTATGTTGAGCAGGGGATCGTTTTTTTAATTATATTAGTCTGATTTGTAAATTTAAGGAGAGAAACAAAGGAGTCTTCTATTTTACTATGATGCTGTGGTCACTCTCTAGTATATTTAAAATCATTGGCATAGCTCAAGATGCATCTGGCTTGCCCCAGGGGCAAGTCAGCTACTCATTACTTGTGAGCAAAAGATTTAACTATTCCCTGTTCTGGCCCACAGGAGGCCCTGGAGGCGTGCCAGACCCGCATCTCCAAGATGGAGCTGCAGCAGCAGCAGCAGCAGGTGGTGCAGCTGGAAGGGCTGGAGAATGCCACTGCCCGGAACCTTCTGGGCAAACTCATCAACATTCTTCTGGCTGTCATGGCAGTTCTTTTGGTCTTTGTCTCCACAGTAGCCAACTGCGTGGTTCCTCTTATGAAGACTCGCAACAGGACGTTCAGCACTTTATTTCTTGTGGTTTTCATTGCCTTTCTCTGGAAGCACTGGGATGCCCTCTTCAGCTATGTGGAACGGTTCTTTTCATCCCCCAGATGATGCTGGCAAAAGAAGGCAGTGCTCCCTTACCCTCTGGCGAGTGCATGCAGCAAAGAATTAGACAGCAACTTACCTACTCTGAAGTTTTCTACAACAACAAAGGAGTTGAGTGAATCTGTTTACATTTAGAATAATGTTTTTTTCTTCAAGAGACGCAATTGCAATAGTATTTTTTAGATTTTATCCAAGAAGTTTTTTGGGCAAAATTCTTGGATCATTTTTATGTAGCATGATTTTCCTTGGGATGCAAATCTTAAACAGTCCTTTACCATGAACCAACAATCTGGAGCACACTGAAGGGAATCTAAACTGTGGCTTGAAAAACTGCACTAAAACCCACTAAAAAGATGCGAAAACCTGATTAGGGAAACCAGTCAAACCTAACACCCTGCCTGGTCTGGGCTCACCACCTCTCCCCTCCCAGACTAACTTTACTGTGAAATCCTACCACATTCCATGTCTGAGTTTTTGGATTCAGGGCGGATTTTCCTTGTCCATGGAAGAACACAAGGATCTCCCTGGCTTTCTCACCCAAGTTGGCCACTCGTGCTAATGCTGAAAGTATGATTGCTTTTGAACCTGGTCCTTTAACCTTTGCTAGGATACAAGTGTGAGAGCATCATGCCCCACGGGATCACTGCATAATCCTACTACAGTATTTTGAAGTAGCCCTCCAAATACTTAATTTTAAGCAAAATCCCATGGCCGCACTTTTAAGGTTTTTTAAAAAACGTGTATAGTCATCAATTAAAAAAAAAAAAAATCCGAACAGCATACTTGAAGAATGTAATACTCAAACTCTCAGTGCTTCCTTATGGTTTCTAATAGGATTTTTTATTGTTAATATTATTGGGTGGTTTGTGTTTTTTTTTGTTTTGTTTTTTGAAAGGATTGGGAGGGTCTTTTACTTTATTCCTTTGAAATAAAGAAGTGATGTTTTTAAATGAAGAAATGTGTGGATATTTAAGTGTGCTGCTGCCTCTTGTCTTGGAACAGTTTGAGTAAAGGAAGACTTGCTATAAATGCTGCCCTCTGATGCCCTTGTTTTGTGATGCAGCTTAAACTCCCTTGTCTGGCTGCTGCTGCTGCTGCTGTTTGCTGTTTGCTGCCCCATCACCACCACCACTTCATGGGCTTGGCTTGGTTGGAGAGGAAAGGGGTGTGCAGGGAGAAGTTGTTTTCACAAACCAGCTTGATAGGATGGAGATTTTTTTGTCCTAAGAGAATGTTCACTCAGTGACTTTGGACTGAACTGTCTTTAGGGAAAAATGAGACTAAGAGAGTCATAATAATTCCTTGTGTTTCCTTAATTTATTTGTTAACACCTCCTAATTACTGAAACCAAAGTGATTATGAATCTTCTGTCTGCATTTTGGCCTCTGCATCCTTAATTTCAAAGCTTTATTTTGTCTGCCTGAGAGAATTAACTGATGGTGATTCTCCCTAAAGAGCAGAGAAGGAGATATCAGGTTAGAAGGACCCAGGCTTTGGGTGTATAAAGTGTTGTCAGCTTCCTAGTCATATAGACTGACATTAACATAATTGTGCTCAGTGGACTTTTATAGACAGTTTAGAAAAATGGACTGAGACTTCTTCCCCTTTCTATAACCAGTTTCATCATCTTGGTGGAACTTGGGCTTTTAGAGCTTATCTAGAAAGTATGTTTGTGGCATTAAGTCACCTCAGCCTCAGCTCTGTGTAACCGAGTAATGAGCAAGGGGCACATGATGTGCCCCCAAAAGAGAACATGCTTTGCCTGTCTCCCCCTATCCCGGGAAATTCCTTTGAAACCAGATTAGCATTGCCTTGTCTGTCTGACAGCATGGTTTACATGACGGCTCCAGCCGCTGGTGGCTTTGGCAGGCTGGCTTTCTCAGAGTCAGCATGTTGTTAACATAATCATTTTGATATTTTAACTCAGGTATCCCAGTCTTCATTCTATTCCTGGATGATTGTAGCATACCTGTTAGCTCTGTTGACCTCTCAAAAGTAGTGCCCAGAGCAGGGACCAGGGTGGAATTTTTATTATTATTATTATTATTATTTTAATCACAAGGGAGATTTTTCTTTTAAAAAAATAATTGGAACCAATTCATGTTCAGGCCAAAAACAAATTGTTCCGAAGCTGATGTATTGAAAATGTTAACTTTGTCTAAAAATATTGCAGTGATTTTAGACCGGCGTGCCAAAGGACACCATGACTTTGTTGAACTAGCACAGTTTGTTCTTGCTGTTTTAGCTTAAGGCTCAGAATAGAGAGCCACAGTTTGCCAGTTTTTCTAAGATGGAACCTTTGTGTCCCCTAACCTGTGTAAAGGCTACTAATTTTGGCGGGCACTAGAAGTCACTGTGATAGATGAATTTAAATTATTCCTTATGCCTTGGGATGGTTTCTATCAAAGGAATGTTTTTACCTCTGGAAAGCCCCCTAATCTCCCAGCCAAACATGCCTGTGCTAAATTTCCATTTTCTCTCAAGCTGTCCTAGGAAGGACCTGCAGGTTGGATCAGGCACAGTAATGGCCCTTCTAGCTCTCTTGTTTCTTGATTGTTCAGCAGGTCCAACAGTTGTTTGCATTTAATGCTATGTGTAACTATGAATATGGTTTGATGCCTTTCCCATTTTCTGCTGCCCATACCTATTACCTTTGAGTTTCTTTGCATTGTGACTGTTCTTGGATTCTCTTGTCTGTTCAAAGCTCTTCTATAACCTTGCTCTAATGATTTAACAATTGTTCTATAGATGGAAAATTCCCATCATTTTAATGCATCTTCTCTTTTAAAGACTACATGCATTCCCTTTGAAATGAAGCATTCCTGGGTTACTTGTCAGTGGTGGTGCCTGAGGCTGTGGTAGCCTGGGTGACTATGTTCAGGTTATAGAATGACTAATATTTTACAATTTTTATGATAATTGAAGGACATGTCTGCTGCAATTTCAATTCCTTGGTATATACTCAGTGCATCCTAGCAAGGGACGCTTTCTATTCCAGTGGCTCCTTAATTTTACACTTCACATTGACTGGGACCCTTTCTCTCTCTTGTACCCCCTCCACCCAATTGACATAAAAATCTGATAAGGAAAATACTGAGATTAAGCCTTCCTTGCTAGTAATGTCCTAATAATGAACATATTTTCATGTGTCTTTAACTACCTTTGGTTTTGTTTCTAATTTCATATTCCTTTGAGGTACAGTCAGATGAAATGCTGAATTTCGAGAGAGTTTCAGTACAGAGCTGCCTTTCAGCTTTGGAAAATATGCATCCAAAACAAAACCAAATACTATAGTCAACAAATTCACAAAGGCAAAATTATGGTTCCCACCCCTCAATGAGACTGGGGATTTTGAATGTGGCTCTTAAGAGTTAACATTTCTATCTGTGTGTTATGTATGCTAAGTGATATCCCCAGTAGGACTGACTACTAGACTGTAAGTGTGTTTTATCAAAGTGTGTAAGAATAAAAACTCGCACGAATTGAAAAGTACAGAAATGACACTTGTGAATGTGTGAACGTTAACACTGTAGTTGATAGATCTTAAGCTGCTAATTGTTGAGAGAGGATTACATTTTATGTTTTGTCTGATTGCTGCAGATTCTCAGCAGCACTTTTACTGTATATACAAATTGAAATAAAGACCTCAGCTATTAACGAGGTGGTTGGACTTGGGTTTGTTTTGCTCTTTATTTTTGCACATTCCGTTTCCAATGACAACCTTGTCAATCTGAAAACTTTCCACTAGTTTGTGCATTAGGAACTGTGTGTATGTGTTGTATGAGTGCATGCATGTGCGAGTATATGTTTAGCTAGTATCTTGAAACTGTAACTGATAGCTGAGTGGCTATCACTGTCTCCCTGGATTTTACACACATCACTTCCAATGTGGCACTTTGCCACAATTCCTTTAGACTGATAAGACTGCCTTTAAGACCTTTGGAGGGAGTTCTTTAGAGGCAGTACTTCCAATTCAGCATCTGAAGATTCCACAGTGGGTATGATAATCCCTGTCCATTCATTAATAAACAAATGTTATGATGCGTGTATAAACATACTTGGTAAACATTTAAGATTTCGAGTTCCATGTACATGTAAAGGGTTTATCTAGCCTAACCATTGCATCGATGGTTTTGTAGTAGAGGTAGTAAATTCTTTATTTTTTGTTAATCCTCACCTGAGGATATTTTTTCATTGATTTTTAGAGTAGAAGGGAGAGACAGAGAGAGAAACATTGGTATGAGAGAGACGCATTGGTTGCCTCCCACACACACCCTGACCAGGGCCGGGGATCAAGCCTGCAACTAATATACACGCCTTTCACTGGAATCAAACTGGGGCCCTTCAGTCACCAGGCCAATGCGGTATCCACTGAGTCAAACCGGCTCAGGCTGAGGTAGTAATTTCTATTACAGCTTTTGATCTATCAGAAGCCTCTGGAAATCCAGAATCTTAATCTTGCCTTTGACAGGGTACTAAGCAATCTGCATTTCAAGATAGTTGGGGCCACACTTCTGGTTTAGTAGCTCTGTTCCTCCTACCACATCTATAAACTAGAAACATCACATCCATCTTGATCTTACCTAGTAGCTGTTGTGAAAATAAGATCTCTTGAGAACGTTTTTAAAATTGTGAGAATGCCCTTAAGCTTCTAGAAACAGAATGTAGGTTGTACATTGCCCAATCCCAAGGGGCTCGATAAGTAAGTTACACTATGACGGATACATCTTAGTGTTGTACAGTGCATAATGGGCACAAAGAGCAGCTTTGATGATAGGTGATACGTAATTTCAAAGCCTGCTTTACTTTCATTCACTAAAAACTTTGGAGAATGGAAGGCTGGTAGCATAAATCTGAGAAGTTGCCATGTAGCAAAGAGTTTGGGGAGATAGAGGACAGTATGGCCAACTAGAAAATGTGTGACTCAACTAAAGGATTCAGATGTGTTACTTTTAAACTCTATGGACTAAGTCTAGATAGAGTAGGTACATTTGTTAAGTACTTATTGAATGCCAGGCATAATGCTTGATACTTGACATGTAGTTCTCACTTAATTCCCCCACAATCTCCCGCAAGCAATGTCCTCGTGGAGCTAAAGTCAGTGAAGCATGAGTAAAATGGCTTGCTCAAAGTTACACTGGTAGGAAATGGAAAATGAATGTGATGGGAAATAGATCTATGCAGGATATGTAACAAAAGATGGATGTCAGTATAAGAATTAATAAAAACCAAGAAGAAAAGTCAACTCGATAGAAAATAGACAAAGGTTATGACAAAATAGTTCACAAAAAAAGAAATGAATTACCAATAAGCATTCAAAAGAAAATGTTCAGCCTTGTGTGTAAATCAGTGCATTAAATTGGGAGGAAGGGGGGCAGCCAGTTGTGGAATCGTCTCCTATTTACATTTAAAATATTTTTGGCTCTAACCTATTTGGCTCAGTGGATAGAGCATTGGCCTACAGACTGAAAGATCCCAGGTTCAATTCCAGTCAAGGGCATGTACCTTGGTTGCGGGCACATCCCCAGTAGAAGGTGTGCAGGAGGCAGCTAATCATTCTCTCTCATTTATGTTTCTAACTATCCCTCTCCCTTTCTCTCTGTTAAAAAAAAAAAAATCAATAAAATATATTTTTTAAATAAAATATTTTGTGTAAATAAATATATTTGTAAATATATAGAAAATTAACTTCATAGAAAACTGTTCCCAATAGTTACTTCTGGGGAAGGGAGTAATGGTGGGACTTTTATGCTTGACTCCTATAAAATACGTATCTTTTATTTATGTATTTTTTAATTAAAAATATAAAAACTTAGCTAAGCTGGTTTGGCTCAGTGGATAGAGCATCCGCCTGAAGGGTCCCAGGTTCAATTTCCAGTCAAGGGCACATGCCCAAATTTCAGGCTGGATCCCCAGTGGGTGGCATGCAGGAGGCAACCCATCAATGATTCTCATCGTTGATATTTCTATCGTTCCCTCTCCCTCCCGTCCTTTCTGAATTTAAATTATATATATAAATTAAAAACTTAAAATAATAAGTCCATTGAGGAGAGGTTAAAAAAAAAAAAAAAGGTTGATAGTGTTGCTAATGCCCGGCTATAATAGACGATTGTTTTAGAAGAGGCTCTGGGCCAAGTTTCTTACAGCCCTGGATTTCTGGGCTTGGTGCTCAAATGGACGTCCCGCTGCCAGAGGGCACACGTGGGAAGTGTGCTTGCAGCAGCTGGGATAGCTGATTCAGTCCAGCCCTTCCTTCATCCAACAGCGTCTGAGAGCCATTCTGTGTACAAGGCTGCGCTGTGGGGCTGTGCTAAGTCCAGAGGAAAGGAATGTGGCAGCAGGAGATACATGTTGTAACAGAGTCTGAAGCCACGTGTGGGAGCAAGAAGGAGGAAGCAGTTCTGAGAGGGCAATTGGGAAAGGCGAGGAGGGAGTAGTGTCTGGGCTGAGAGAGGACGGGTTTTTGATGAGTGGAGATGAATGAGGAGGGCATTCCACATTGAAGGAACAATATAAGCAAAACTCACAGAAGTGAAAAAGGCCAAGATGAGGATTTCAAGCAATGGATGTGAGCCTTGGATGGCTAGTAGGCTGCCCTGGGAGAAAGTGTGAATCATAACAAAGTTCAAGTGGTAGGGGAGGTTTTAAGAAACCTTGACTGCTATGTAAAGGTTTGCTCTATGGTTGCAAGAGAAGCCATTAAAGTTGTTGGGAGGTGCAATGACCCAGCCTTGTGTTTAAAGGTAATTATAATATTTACTAAAGGAACCTGTCACCTTTTTCATGTCATTAAGTCAATTGGCTGGTTGAGAAATGCTGTCCAAGGTATTTGATCTTTTGCCTTTTGATCCTATAATGGAGGGGAGTTGAAAATTTTATTTGGTATCTAGGAAGCTCAGAGTTCAATGCTTGTTACAAAAACAATCCCTGTCACCTTTGGCATTAAAATTCTTAAATTCAACCCCCCTCCACCATCCTCAGTGTGACTAGTGGATTGAGCGTCACCCCATGCAACAAGCGATCACCTGTTGGATTCCCCATCATGCTCAGTTGCGGTCTCAGGCTCAACCCCCCAGGGGGAAGGTGTGCAGGAGGCAGCTGATCAATGTTTCTCTTGATGTTTCTATCTCTCCTCTCAAAAAAAAAAAAAAAAAAGATTTAAAAGATTTTTAATTCTTAAATGCTAGAGCAAAAAGACTTGACAAAATTTATTCAGGTTTCTGCTTTAATGCTTAAATTGTCCAAAGGAATATTCTTTTAGAAGACTTCATTTCAACAGTTTCTGAGACTCCTATTAAATATACAGCAAACCATGATGGAAATAAATGATAACCACTATACCTTAAAGAGAAGATTCTGAGGATTAAGTAATTATACGGTGTCTTGCCTGCCAACTGATGCAGAGTAAGCACTTCACAAATAGTCTCCATTATGTATTAATATTATTTTTTAAAGATGTTCTTACTGATTTGAGGGATAAAGAGATGGAAACATAGATGAGAGAGAAACATTGATCGGCTGCCTCCTGCACCCCGTCCGCATTGGGGATTGAGCTCCCAACCCAGGCATGTGCCCTGACTGGGAATCAAACCAGTTACCTCTTGGTTTATGAGTCGACACTCAACCACTGAGCAACACTGGCAGGGCTATTAATATTAATAATAGACTGATAATTCCTTGAAGACAGGTATTTTTCTCACTCATCTTAATCTCTTTAGAATATAATATGTTTCCCATTCTTACCTGAGGAAAAGGGCCCAGTAGCCAGAATTTGAGCTGTCCCTGGCCAGCCCTGGTTCATGAGTTGGTTTGGGAAACCAAAAAAATCAGTATAGGTCAACTACACCCTGACAATAGAAACAACAGAAGAGAACATCACAGCCATTGAGAACAAACTTGCAAATGGACTCCCATACGATGGGCTAATGATAGATTTTATGGAGCTTTCTTACCCACAAGACATTGTTGTGTTCATGGCTATGTCCTTAGTGCCTGGAATGGTGCCTGGCACTTCAAAGGTGCTTGTTAAAAAGTGGAATTTTAAAATGTTGTGCATTAAATACTTACTCAGTGCCAGACACAGTGCCACTTGTTCCCTTCTAACTCCTACATCTCCTCCGAAGAGGAGGTGGCCTAGATCCATGTTGCAGATGGAAACAGAAGCTCAGATAGGTGCTTGGATCTCATCCTGCGGGTAAGCCATTCCACTCGTAAATGGCAAAGCCGGCTTTCGCGTTCAGCTGAGTTTGCCATAAGGCCCATGCTATTTCTACCATCCCATTGGGCTGGACAAGGAATCAGATTTGTGGATTTCAGACTCTCTGACCTTGAGAATGCAGATCACTTTTTCTGGGCCTCCGTGTAAAGTCAGTCACTTTAGTTCTTTTCCAGCTAAAACGATATTCTCAGTACGGTGCTTGATGGATGCCCTGCTCACAATCGTCATAGAAGCATAAGCTGTAATCCCTGAGCTGATGGAGCATCAGGACAGGACAAAATGGGAGTACGGAGCTGAGGTCTAGGAATGACCAAAAATGGGAGATATATACATACATACGTACATACATACATACATATATATCAATGAATCTTTTTCTTAGCTAATTAAGCTTAAAGAGTATGTGTAACTCATGAGTGTGAAAAGTTGACTCCACAAGTGTTATCGTTCAGTGGGGGCAGCTGCCTGCCCTAGTGGCCCTTGTTAGCCTCCTTTTAATAGAGACCCTGATCACACACAGTTTTAAGCAGTGGGGTAAGCTTCTCTTCTCTTACTCATTTCCAACAGGTGTCTTCCCAAACATATGACACACTTCCTGCTGAAAGTAATGTAATCGTCATGACCCAGTGGTCAGCCTGGAGAAGCTGACTCAGATGATTGGAGTGTGATACTCCTTGCCCCTGCATTAAAACGCCCTAGTCTACTGTGCTTTTTGTTCTTTTAAAAAAATGGCAGCTTTCACACACCATACAATTCGCCCATTTAAAATGTTCTACTCAGTGGTTTTTCGTATATTCACAGAGCTGTGCACCCAGCATCGCTGATTCCAGAACATTTCCATCAGACCAAAAAGGAACTCTGCACCCCTCAGCTGCCACCCTGCTGCTCTCCTATCCCTCCCAGCCCTAAGGAACCACTAAGCTTTCTGTGGACGTGCCTATTCTGGACATTCATATGGATGGAGTCATGCAATATGTGATCCTTTGTGCCTGGCTTCTTTTAGTTAGGGTGTTTTCAAGCTTCATTCACGTGGTAGCATGTTTTCAGTACTTCATTCCTTTTTGTTGCCGAATAAGATGGCATTGTAGCCGAACCGGTTTGGCTCAATGGATAGAGCGTCGGTCTGCAGACTGAAAGGCCCCAGGTTCGATTCCAATCAAGGGCATGTACATTGGTTGCGGGCACATCCCCAGTAGGGGGTGTGCAAGAGGCAGCTGGTCGATGTTTCTCTCTCATCGACATTTCTAGCTATCTCTCTCCTTTCCTCTCTGTGGAAAATCAATTAAAAAAGAAAAAAAAGATGGCATTGTATGGATATACCACATTTTTATCCTTCATCAGGTGGTGGATATTTGGTGGTTGGTTGGTTTCACTTTTTTGGCTATTTGGAATAATGCTACTGTGAACATTCATGTGCAAGTTTTTGAATGAACATGTTCCATTTCTCGTGGGCGTATATCTAGGCGTGGCATTGCTGGGTCACATAGTGACTAGGTGTAGCCCTTTGAGAAACGATCGGACTGTTTCCCCAGTGGCTGAGCCTTTTCCATCCCCACCAGCGGCCTCCACACCCTCGGGTGCCTCATTCTCTGACTCTGTCCCCGCCCTGAGGGTGTGAAAGGATACCTCATTGTGGTTTTGACTTGCATTTCCTTGGTGACTGTGTGTTTTTATTTCTAATATCTCTTTTCACCAGCTTCCCTGTCTTTCTCCTCCCAAGCCAGGCTGTGGCTGTCACGATTCATTATTGCCAATGTGGTTGCCTTCCAACTCCCTTCTAAACACTGCTTTTCATCTGCTAGGGGCCAGGGTTCCACTTAGCCCTGTTTGTCAGGATGATGTCAACGTGAGGTTAAATAGGCTCTGGATGAGGCCCTGCCAGGAAGGAAGGCGTGGCCTGCGCTCGGTGACCGCTGATCCAGCAGCTTTGCAAAGATTCTGCTTAAAACCACGACTTCATGAAAAAGAAGGAAAGCAGAAATGGAGGGAGGGAGGGAGTGAGAAAGACAAAAAGAAGCAGGAAGGGAAAGAGGGAAGGAAGGGCGAGGGAAGCGTGGCTCTCTACTAGTGGGCTGGGTTGGCCCGAGTCTTAATGTCCTACCTCTCCTCACTCCACGCCTGGTGCCACCACCCTCCTCCACCCCTTGGCATCTGCCGTACCTTCTCACAGCGACCCCTCCCCCAGCCCCACTGCCTGGCAAGCTCTTATTCATTCTTTTATTTAACTCTTTACCAAGGAATTTTCAACCATAGGCAAAAAGTGAATAGTATAATAATAAACCCCAACCAACAATTATCAACATGTGGTCAATCTCTCTTCATCCGTACCTGCCCTCCAGTCCCTACTCCCCTCAAACTGGGTCCTTTTAAAGCAAATACAAGAGAGCATCCTTTATTTGTCCACTTTTATTCTTTTACTTATTTATTTTTGGTCAGATGTTCTTTTTATGAAGGTGAAATTCGTGTAATATAAAAATTAATAATTTTAGCCTAGCTGGCTGGGCTCAGTGGATAGAACGTTGCTCAATTAACAAATTGGTGTGGCTGTTCTTTGGAAGCTCTGCTGCCTTATATAAACATATGCTAAGGCTATAACAAAAATGTTGCCATTTCCATGCTTGCTATCACCTTCATACTTCTGCACATGAAGTTCCCAGTGTCCCTCTGTCCACTTCGGATTTCTATTCTTCCTTCAGACACCGTCTTCTCAGAGGTCTTCCCCGACCCACCTTTCTCCCCTCACCATTTCCCCAAACAGCGCAGTGAAGCTGCTGCTCAGCTGTGCTGGGTCTTTGCAGCAATGACAGGGTGAGCAGGTGGTGCAGCCCTGCGGACGGAGGAGAGCTCGGGGCGGGCAAGGCCCCTCTCCTCGGGGACCCCGCAGTCTCAATAGATAGGCAATGGCAGGGGCTGCGGGGCACCTATCCCACAGGGGCGCCTCCAGATGCTTCCAGCTCTGGAGAGGGAGATGCCAGGTATGAAACAATCAGTGATTGAGATAGAAATCTCCCGGTTTATGGGGCAAGTACTCAGAGGAACTTGAGTCTGGAGTGCGGCCAGCGTTCCAAGCGTTCCCCACACTTCAGACCCGGCTCTCTGGTGCCACCTGTTGGAGAAATTGTTTTACTGATGGGCACCTTCCCTGCCCCCAAAGAATTTGGGAACAAACACGCTTATACATGTTTTAAAGTTGACATCTACAATATAAAAGTTTAAATCGTTGCAAAGGATGTACTGCCCAGGGTATTTTAAATATTGACATTGTAAGGTTAAACTGTTTCATCACTGTATACAGCCAGTGACTCTAAGGATATTGATTTATATCCACTGTCACCCATATGGGAAGTACATGGCCAAGCTCGTCCATATTAATGAGGTTTTACCTTATTTTTCTCTTTTGTGTTCAATTCTACTGTCCCCACAGTTTTAGCCTAATGTAGTATGTCCTTATGCCTGAAAGATTCTACCGATCACATCGCCCTACTTTTCTGTAGCAAAAACTAGAAATACAAACTGAAATTTTAAAAATTAAAATTTTTCTGTGACCATAGCCACTCAGTGTTTAAAAATGTTATCCTGTAAAGTTTTAATTACACATATTAGTATGCAGTTGACCAAAACAACATAAATATATTACAAATGTTGGTGTTTATTCAGCAAAATATTAGCATGTATTTTATGAGTTGACTGGGTTTCCCCCATTTTGTGTACCAATGGATAAAGCTTCTTTTTTTCAAGACAGTGCAGCTTCATCTCGTCCTAGTTCTTGTTCTTACAGGCAAAGCACTCAGAAGTCCTGTGACATAAATAACGGAAAAGAATGGAGGGGTATGGAGCCGTGTCATGCCAGAATTTCAGAATTTTAAATCAATAATATTGGTGACAGGTAAATGAGGGTTTATTATGCTAGGTCCTCTGCTTTTTGTTTGTTTCCATTTTACTGTACATAGTAATTATGATTAATCCCTACTAGGTGACAAGAAAATTAGACCCTCCTGTAATTGTGCTGCAAGTAAAAAGTGGGAACTATGTACTTGGCTGCCTAAGGGATTTATTTCCCAGTCTTGGGAGCCTTTCTTCTCTCCAGATCCAGCACCGGACTTCCAACCGGCCTTTTGTCAGCCTCAGGCAGGTCCGGACGTCTGCTTTTCTCTCCCAAAGCCTGAAGCTTTCTCTGGGAGTGGATCCCTTTGAAGACTGTGGTGGGTGACCCACTTCCCAAAGGCCCCGGGAAATGGGTCAGGCCGAGAAGGAGAGGAAGATTCTATCTCGGAATACAAGTGCCTTCTCTCTCCCCTCCAGCCTCCGCCGTGCACCCTGCCCAGAACCTGGCTCCTCTCCGCGGAGAGAACAAGAGGCCCCCCCTCCCACCGCCCGGGGTATGTGGCTAAGAAGGGTGAGGCTGGAACTATTTCCATCCATCTTCTGTGAGATACTTCAGTCCAGGAAAACTTAATTATAAGTTAATTAATTTCTTTCTTTCTTTCTTTTTTCTTAAGGAGCTTGGGGAGATACACGAAGAGGGGTTAACAGAAACACAGCCTGGATTTCTGAGAATGTGTTTTTGTCTTGTTTTTATTTGACTAGAGAGAGAAGAAAGGAGAGAGAAACGTGGATCTGTAGGCACCCCAACAGGGGGTTGAACCCACACCCTAGGTATGTACCCTGACCTGGAATCAAACCTGCAACCTTTTGGGGTCCGGGAGGGCGCATCAACCAACTGAATCGCCAGTCCAGGGTGCGAATTAATTTCAATTAAAACAAAAGCAAGCAATTAAATGTGATAGTGGAGAGGGATGGGCGGAGCAGAGCTAGGGGCAACTGGCAATATTTGCATACGGTTTTGCGGATTAAGTAATGGTATTACATCATAATTAAATCACCTGATTTTAAAAACTCTGCTGTGGTTGTGTAATGGATTGTCCTTGTTCTTGGGAAATACACACGGAATGGTTTAGGGGTCAAAGTGCATCCGATCTGCAACTTTCTCTTTGATGCTTGGACGGGACTTGAACATGCAGAAAGGGAGGTCAAAATGCTAAAACTTGGTGAATTAGGTTAAGAAGAGTGTCCGAGCGTTCTCCGTACTGTTCTCACAGCTTAGTAATGGAAATTATTTCAAAACGAACTCTGACACGACAAGCCTGGTCTCTGTCGCCACCTTGTGGCTATTGCGGGAGCGCACCCTGTGGCCGGAGACCTTAAACTCCCCACCTCAGGCGGCGGGCGGCTCCTGGCTTCGCTCTGACGCTAGGAGCCACTGCGGGTGCATCTCTTGAGCAACCAAAGTGAAGGCACCTTAATCTAGGTTTGAGAGAAGTCAAATTTCAGCTGGTTGCAGGCGCTCAAACCCGGCCCTCCCCTAGAGTCTGGGCTCCCAACAGGACCTCTCTTGCTCTCTCTCCTCTCTCTCTCTCTCTCTTCTCCTCTCTCCTCCTCTTCTCTCTCTCTCTCTCTTCTCTCCTCTCTCTCTCTCTCTCTCTCTCTGTCTCTCTCTCTCTCTCTCTCTCTCTCTCTCTCTCTCTCCCACCCCCCCACCTCCATGCGCCACACTCACAGGCTCACTCTCCCATCTCCCCGCCTTGCCCACGCAGTTCCCAAGCCCCAGCTCCCCGCCCCCACCCCCACCCCCCGCCCCGGGCCTGCGATGCCCCTGGACTCCCTGAGCCCCGCACTGCTCAGTCGCTGACTTCCTGCTGTGCACCCGCTCCTGGCGGGATGGGGGCTCCGAGACCTGTCCGGTCTCCCCGATGTCCAGCGCCTGGGGGAGGGGGCTCTGGGGGAGGGGGCTCTGGGGGAGGGAGATCTGGGGGAGGGGGCTCTGGGGGAGGGGGATCTGGGGGAGGGGGCTCTGGGGGAGGGGGATCTGGGGGAGGGGGATCTGGGGGAGGGGGAATCTGGGGGAGGGGGATCTGGGGGAGGGGGAATCTGGGGGATCTGGCAGGGGGGCTCTGGGGGAGGGGGCTCTGGGGGAGGGGGCTCTGACAGGGGCGGGCTGTTTGTCCCGGTTCCTTTACTCCCCAGCTTGTCTCCTAGGCGGCCCTCCCCCAGGAGTGTCCCCTCCCAGGCATCTGTGGCTGCGGAGGGGCTGAAGGCTCCAAGGGGGAATGGGTGTGTTTTGGGGGTGCCCATGATGGGCCTTCTCTCCGGGGACAGCATGCACTGTCAGAGGTGCGATGCGGACGCCCAGCTGCAACATCCCAGGAGAGTGGCCAGTCCGGGTCCAGTGCCGGGACCTCGCCTTTCCAAGCGAGAGGGACAGCTCGGGCAGGAGATTCTGGGAGCAAAATCTACAGGCCCACCCCCCATCCCCACCCTCTATCCCCTCCCCCATGCAGCCCTCTCCCCTCCGGGCCCCACTGGCAGACCTGGCTCCAGCGGACCCCACCCCTGGGACAATGGCAGAGGCGGGGCTGGCGTGGACCTGGGAACAATAGTCACCCCCTTCCCCCCACCCCCAGCTTCCGGCCTTTCTCAGCCGCCAAAGGGCGCTGGAGTGGAGGGGACCCGAATCTGAGGCACACTCCCCCCCAGCTCTGCCCACAGCTGTCCCAGGGGCCAGCGTCCACTCCCACCCAGCTCTGTCCCCAGGCGGCCTGGCGAGGGGGATGGTTGCTTTTTAAAACTTTTTTTTTTTTAATTGAGGTAATATATTTACAAAAAGGGAAATGGACAAAGCTCGGTGTGAACTGTGATGAGTTTGTTTGCCTTTTCAGAGGCCCACACATCGATGTTAGGCCACACAGGTCTGTCACTCATCTCGCGCCAGAGCCTTCTAAACACGAGCGATCGAGCGATCGTGGCAGCGGCCGATGTGGCTGAGCCCCCAGTTAGAGCGCCCGTCCTGTGAGCTGCTGACTTTCCGGGTGAAAACGTAACCACCTTGAAGTCCTACAGGATTTGCCAACCCCATTTCATGAAATCTGGCAAGAGCTCGCAACACGATTCCCAGAGACCTAGATTTCTGTAGAACTTGGTTCTGACTTGACAGGATAAATAAGCTCAGACAATGCTTTGTATTAGTCCCCTTTTGTTCAAGTGGCGGTTCTTTTAGTAATCTCTGTTCCAGTTAGCTACTTCTGTTTGTATCTAAGGAGTCCACATCCAATGTTGGCTGCTGTGAGCATGGTCTTCTCCCTTTGCTTCAACTCAGAATTAAGACTTTTGATTCTTTTTTTTTTTTTTTCTTACGGAGAGGAAAGGAGAGATATATAATAGAAACATCGATGAGAGAGAGACATTGATCAACCACCTCCTGCATGCCCCCCACTGGGGATGTGCCCTCAACCAAGATACATGCCCTTGACCGGAATCATACCTGGGACCCTTGAGTCTGTAGGCCGACGCTCTATCCACTGAGCCACAGTGGTTTCGGCAAGACACTTGATTCTTGTTTTGGGTTTTGTTTTTTTGTGTTTTTATCTCCCCAGTCTCAGAAGTAGTTCCCACTGCAGACAGTCCGCATGCTATAATAGTGGTCCACAATCAGGCTCTAGCGTCTCCAGGCTAAGAAGCATTAAACTAAGAGGCATTCTCTCAAATGAGTCTAAATGCATTTTATTTTTAGACAACCTACAGGACATGTTTTTTTCTTAAGAACAATGCCTCCGCTCCAAATAAATCCGGGTCTAAATAAATGAAGAGCTCACGATACCACCACCAGCTCCACAGCCCAGTGTGGATGGGAGGCAGCAGCCAGTTATGACGACAGGTGATGGATCCAAATCGCCAAACTTGTTAACATTTTCCCACTTCTGAACCCCCCGTAAAGAAAGCCTCTCACCATATAGGGTGTCGCACCATCCTCACGGTAGCCCAGCAGAGCCCCAGGCCGTCCGGATTCACGTTTTCACAATACAGAACTGGTAGTTTTTGGAATTGGCAAGGAGGTGCTTGATCTGTTCTGCAGCCCCTGTCATAAAAGACTTTACTCTTTCTTTCTTTTTTAAAACATATTTTATTGATTATTTTTTTTTACAGAGAGGAAGGGAGAGGGATAGAGAGCCAGAAACACTGATCAGCTGCCTCTTGTACACCCCCTACTGGGGATGAGCCAGCAACCAAGGTACATGACCGGAATCGAACCCGGGACCCTTCTGTTCACAGGCAGACACTCTATCCACTGAGCCAAACCGGTTAGGGCAGCTTTACTCTTTCTGGCTTCTGCTCTTCCCATTTCCCTTTGATTGATGTCATGTCATCTTGGATGTGCTTCTTGTAGACTTCTTCAGGTTTACTGAAAATGATGGTTCCTGACATCCATATCCACTCCAGTGGTGGCTGTGTTTTCGGTACCTTGGCCCGCAGGGCCTTCAGCGGAGGCATTTCCACCCATCAGCGAGTCATCACTGTTCCCTCTGTCCTACTGACCATCTTCCCCTCCTCCGCCAGGCACCGCCTATCCGCGATCTCCCGGGTCTCGTAGATATTGAGAACTCCCCATCATGGCGGGTGAGGTGCTGGTAGATGGTCACGATGGGTGGCAGCTGGAAGGAAGCGGGCGGCACTGCCTTAGCAGGAGCTCGGAGCTCAGAGCGAGTGCCCTGCAGCCAGCTGTGTGCGTGTTGGGGGGGGGGGGTGGTCAGGGAGGAGGGAGAATAGTGGAAAAGCTATGATGAGTTTTTACACATTTGAACCCTGAGACCAATTCTCAGAACAAGGGAGAACATGCCCAGCTCCAAGAAGTTCCTGGTGCCCCTTCCTAGTCAATCCCTGACCCCAACCCCGGCCCCTGACAATCATTGACGGGATTTTTCTCTCCAGTATGAAGACTTTAGATTCTGACTTTGAGATCCATCCTCTTTTGGTTTTGTTGTTGTTGTTGTTGTTGTTGTTGTTGTTGTTAATCCTCACCTCCACTGATTTTTAGGGAGAGTGAGAGAGGGAAAGGCAAAGAGAAACATCCATGTGAGAGAAACACATCGACTGGTTGCCTCCTGCATGCACCAGGGTAGGGTCTGGGCCAGCGAGGAGCCTGCAACCAAGGTACCTGCCCTTGACTGGAATCGAACCGAGGACCCTTTGGTCTGCAGGCCAACACTCTGTCCACTGATCCAAACCAGTAGTCCATTTTTTATTACCCCATTGTATGACTGTGTACCTTTATTTATTTATCTATTCACTAGCTGTGGGACATTGGGTTGTTTCCAGTTTAGGGCAACTATTTTTTTTATATATTTTATTGATTTTTTTTTTTTTACATAGAGGAAGAGAGAGGGATAGAGAGTTAGAATCATCAATGAGAGAGTCATCAATTAGCTGCCTCTTGCACACCCCCTACTTGGGATGTGCCCGTAACCAAGGTACATGCCCTTGACCGGAATCGAACTTGGAACCTTTCAGTCCACAGGCTGTCGCTCTATCCACGGAGCCAAACCGGTTTTGGCTAGGGCAACTATTAATAGACCTACTGTAAACATCTGTGTACAGGTTTTTGTGTGGTTGTGTGTTTTCATTTTATTTCAATACCTAGGGGTGGGATTGCTAGGTTGCATAAGTCTACATTTGACTTTTAAAAGAAACCACCAAATGGTCTTCCAGAGTGGCTACACCATCACACACACACAAATACCCCCACCACCACCCTTGCCCAATAGTGTATGAGAGCTCCATGGCTCCACACCCTGGCCAGCACTTGTGTTGTGAGTCTTTTAAATTTTAGCTCCTGCAGTGGGTATGGTGTCATCTTAAGAGAGTATATTGACTAAACCAGTGAGCAAACACCCAGAGCATTCCCCACTTCCGGGAAGTGCCATCAGTGCCCCAGCCTTTCCCCGCCTTCCAGGCAGAACTTAGGTCCAGGTGGGGTCCTGGGCCAGAGCCAGGCCCTAGGTGGACAGATGTCTGCCCCATCATGCCTCAGGGGCATGCACCTTCCTATACCCCACACCTTCCCAGATGCTTCAGGGGAAGGAGCTGGTACTGAGTACCCAGGTCAAAAGTGATGGGACCGGGTTTCAACACGAGTCCTCCTATCTGCTCTGCTGGCGAGGGCCTTTTTGAAGGGGGATGTTTGAGCAGGGACCTGAGTGACGAGAAGGTGGCAGCCCTAGGGGAAGGCCTTCCCAGGCAGAGGCAACGCAAAGGCAACAGGGAGGAGGCGGGCGGTGCTGGAGCAGAGAGAAAGGGGAAGAGAAGAGGGCTGGTGAGGTCATGGGGTCAGGTGGTGCTTAGTCGGCTCCGGCTGCTGCCGTAACCGAGCACCACCGGTCTAACCACAGACGCTTCTTTCCTCACAGCCTGGAGTCCGGAAGTCCGAAATCAAGGTGTCAGCAGGCTTGGCTTCTCCTGAGGTCTCTCTCTGGTCTGGGGCTTAGCCACCTTCTCGCCGTGTCCTCACGTGGTCTTTCCCGTGTCGAGGGCGCGTCCACACGCCCTCATGTGACCCTGTCTCCAAATACTGTCCTATTCTGAGGGGCTGGGGTTAGGACTTCAGCATATATTTTTGGTGTGTGTGTGGGGGGGGACATAGAGTACCGATTCGCTCATAACAGATGGCTTTAGCTAACAGGGAGGAGGGGGCCTTCGTGAGCGCTGAGCTAGAAGAGAGGGGATACGGTTTGCATGTTAATAGGATCCTCAGATGCGGAAGCCCAGAACAGTCTGCAGGGAGGGGTGGGGGGAACGGTGAGGAGGGTATTGCCATAGGCTGGAAGCCCGTAGGTGGAAGCCCGTAGCCAGACCTGGGGGGTGGGGTTGAGGGGTGGGGTCGGCGGGGACAGGGATCAGACTCTGCTTATGTTTGCTGTGGGGAGGAGCAGCAGGTTTCCCAGCGGAGGAGAGCAGGGAGAACAGGAGGGGCCTGAGGGCGGGGCTGACGGAGGTGCCAGCTTCTCCCGCCTTCCAGCCTGATTCCTTATCTCCTAAGAGCCCATTGTGTGCCGCTTGCCCCTGTGGGTGAGGGAGGAGAGGCCCGGGGGCCAGAGTCCAGGCCACAAAGGGTGCTGACTCAGGGCTCTGGTCCGCTGGCCCTTCCTCCTCCTTCCTCCTTCCTCCTGGCCGCCCAGCCTGACCCCCTCTTGGACAAACATCTTGTGGCCGTTTCCGCCTCGCCTGCCCGGAGCCCCGGCCGGGCCTGAACAAACACTCGGGACCTGAGCTCCTGGCCTCCGCTCTGGGAAAATCCCGGCCGGGGGCTGCTCAGGCCAACCCCGGGGAGGGTGGGAAGGCCCGGGTCTGCATGGCCTGCCCCAGTGCCTGGGCTGCAGCCTCCCCATCCGTAAAATGGGCCTGATTCTCACCCCCTGAGAGGACTGCAGGGCACCTTGACGGGGGGACGCTCCCCACAAAGTTGTGAGAGGCCTGGGGAGCAGGTCTCCCAGGGACCCCTGTGCCAGACGGGGCCCGATTTTACCTTCCCTCCCGGGACCTCTCCCTTCTCGTTCCCATTCTGAAGTGGCCCGTGTGACGGCTCCTCCAGTCCCGTTCCTGTCCCCTCAGAGCCTCCTGGTGCTCCTGTCAGGAATCAGGAGCCAGGCCACGGGCGGGGCAGCAGTGGGCAGTCCTGACAGGGTGAACTGCGTGAAAACGGACTTTGAGGAGTGAGCGCCCTGTCCCTGGAGGCGTGAGCAGAGACAGCTGAATGTGGAGGAGGTGACCTCACCAACACTTCCTCATTGTCTCAGGAGCCCTGTGAAGTGGGCAAGCTGGCGGCTTCTGGGGTCAGAGAGACTCAGATACAGATCCCAGCTCTGCTGGGTGGCCAGGCTCTGCTGGGCGCTCAGCCTCCTGGGCTGCGTGGGGAGTGAGTGACCCTCTCAGGGAAGAGCCAGCCCCCTCGGCCGGCCGCGTGGAGGGGCGTGGAGGTGCCCGGTGCCCCCTCCGGGGCTGAGGGGGTTGGGTCTCCCGGCCCCCCCTCGCTGGGTTCCTCACAGGCCCACGATCCAAGCCCCCTCCTTGAGAACTTGGCCAGATAAAGCCTTTCCAGCTGGGGTTTGATTTTGTTTTTGTTTTCCAGGAAGGATCTGGGAGCAGAAACAATGAGATTTTTTTTTCCCCCCTTCCTTGCAGTTTCTCCTCGTCTGAGAGCTGCGGGGCTGGATTCCCACTTTGCTTTCCGGTGTTGGTGTTCCGAGGCGCTGCCAGGAGAGGATGAGTGTGGGCGGGGGAGGTCAGTGGGGGACCGGGGAGGAGGTGGAGGAGGGAGGGGGGAGTGGTCCAGGCAGGGCAAGCATTAGGAAGAGACCTGAGGTGCTCCTTTCTGCCTGCGGATCATTGTGCGTGCTGTCCCCCTCCCAACCCGACCGCCGGCCCCATCGGTAGCTCCAGTGCCTCCTTGAAGCAACACCTCCTCCAGGAAGCCCTCCCCGGTCTCCCCCACCAGGACTGAACCGGTGTCGGCAGCACCTTCCTGCTCTCATTCAGTTATAATCAACCTTCCACTGCGGGTTGGCTGTGTCGGTGGAGGGCCGTCTCCCCTGCATGAGACCCTGAGCTCAGCACGGGGCCCACAGATGGCCCTCCGCGGACGCCAGCTGAGCAGAGCATGGAAACGGGGGCCCAGCCCCTGCACCACGGTCCTCACGGATTGCTCAAGGGTCTTGATCTCGGGGAAGGGGGGAAGCAGAAGGGGAGAATCCAGTTCGGATGGGAAGGCC